AAAACGTTACCATTGTTACTATTCAATTTATTGTTGTAATTATATCCGTGTCATGATATGAATCGATATCCAAATAAATAGGCGACAAGAGACCATGTGGCAGAAGCCCCTGGCGGATAGCTAGTGTTTAATAATGTAATTACAGTTTAATTACATAAATAAAGACCTCGCTCTCTCATTGTGAGCATACTTGATATAAACATACGTATCTACATGTGTGGTGGTACTCAAAAATACATATTTTGAGTATATATGTATCTGTCGCCTTATTTTTTTATATCAACATTCCCATCCTTATCACTAAGCAACGGATTTAGATGCGGTTTTTTTTTTCATAGATAGGGTAATTCAAAAGCATGGTTTTTATGTAATAAGCGGAAAGCTAGTTAAGTATACATTAAAATCAACACTACGGTAGTGTCGCTCATCGTATATTTCGTTATCTAGCGCGGAACCTAACAAACTTACTTAATTACGTGAATCCTTTTAGGGCTGGACTTGGTCCAGCCGCACGTACAAACCCATTGTATAGACCTTTTGTGTTTCGTCAAATAGAAACGCCATTTGGCATTTATTGTGCAAACAAAATTACATACAAAATATGTTGTGTTTCAACACGAACAACGATTAACATCTTTTGAATTGTATTTTTTGTTATAATTTACTAATGCCGCGTTTACCTACATAGTACATAGGTTTATTGTAAATGAAAAGACACTGATTCACGGCCAAGCTAGGAGAGAATCCATTTTTTATCCCGTTTTATCCAGTAACAAGCTATTTATTTATTTACCTTTCTACATCTGCTTTAAATAGAGTTACACGTATTTAAAAAGTATAACCGTCCTAAAACTTAAAAAAGTGATAAACAATACTTTTTAGTGATATTGATTTTTATTTATATAATAGGTACCAATAAAAAAATTAAATATTTATGTAAATAAAAATATTCAACATAGTGAAAGTCTCACATAATGACATTTTTTTTTTTCCAGTGTCATCTATACTCATATTTAAAAAGGAAAAATTGAATACTTGTTTGTTTGTATTGGATAGGCGCCGAAACTATTTGACCGATCTATAAAAGTTTTTCATCTACGGGAAGCTACATAATACGCGGCGGATATAGGCTATAATTTACGTCGGCGAAATCGTTGGGAAAGAGGTAGTTTGCTAGAAATTAGTTCACAATTCAAGAAAAAATCGATGATCATGCCTCCCCTATATATATTGGGTTGGCACAAAAGTAATGAGACACACTAGAAAAATCTATAACATTTCCTTTTTAAAATCAATTTTTTCGATAATATTCTAGAATGTTGTAGAACATTCTAGGTACTTCTGGTGTAGGGTATATAAAGCCGCGCTCGCGATTTGTTTAGTCAGTTTGAAGAAAAATGGACGAGCGACAAGTTCGAACACTATACTTATACGAGTACTTGTTAGGCCACAGTGCGCGGGCTGCGGCTGACAATATCAACAATGCATTAGGCGCTGGAAGTACAAGCCATGCGACGGTGTCCCGATGGTTTGACCGTTTTAAATCAGGAGACAGGAGCCTTGAAAGTCAGCCACGCTCAGGGCGACCACCCGCAGTGAATGATGACGATTAGCGCCGCGAACTGCAGTTGAATCCGGATGCTACCACTCGTGAATTAACGGAAGCACTTAAATGCAGTCACCACGCCGTGGAACACCATCTGCATGAGCTTGGTTATCGAAAAGTTTTGGCTCGGTGGGTACCGCACATCCTTACAGACGCCAGTCGTGCAGTCCGTGTCGCTATCTGTCAGTCACTTTTGCTGCGACCCCCGACGTAAAGAGTTTTTGTCAGATCTGGTTACTGGAGATGAATCATGGATTTATTATGAGAACGATACACGTCGTGCTTTTTGGCTGCCTCGAGAAGAAACGCCACCAACTCAACCGAAGCCGAGTCAAAAGAACCGCCGAAAAATTCTGCTTTGCTGTTTCTGGGATGCGCAAGGCATACTGTTTTATGAGCTATTAAACAATGAAACTATAAACGCTGACAAATATTCAACCCAGCTTACCAAATTATCTGCCGCTATCAAGAAAAAACGACGAAGACGAGTCAATGTAGTTTTACTGCACGATAACGCTCGACCTCACGTCGCATCTGTGGTTCGCCGGCAGTTGGAGAACTTGGGTTGGGAGACGATACCCCACCCACCTTATTCCCCAGACCTCGCCCCATCAGACTATCATTTGTTTAGAGTCCTGAAACAGCATTTGCGGGGTAAACAATTTAATGATTTCTCTGACGTAGAGGCGGAGTTGAACAACTTTTTCGAGGCACAGCCATCAGAGTTCTGGGCAAAAGGCATCCAAACTTTGCCGGATCGTTGGCAAGAAGTCTTAGATACTAATGGTAATTACATCATTGACTAAACTTTTTTTATTGTAATAATAATAAAAAACTAAAAACTTAAACAAAGTGTCTCATTACTTTTATGCCAACCCGATACTTTATACTTTACTCATTATTATCTATGTTTTTCATAAAATAAATATACATCAAATAGTAAAGTATATATACTCGTTCAACATAGAAAATCTTCCTTTCAGATTCTGAATGTATTCTAAATACGCAATCTTTTGTTTTTAAGTTAAAATGGGCAATGTCATAACATATAATTATACAATGCTACTTATAAACAAGGTTTAACATCGGAGTAAATTTACGCTAAAATTGCAATTTTATTATTAGTCCATATTCATATTACACAGAGAATAAGCAAATCTAGTACCTACTAGGAGCAAATATTACTTCCGTAGAACCTCGTACTAGGTTAACCTTTGTTAAGTCTCTGTTTAATAATATGAATTCTGACTAATACGAAGAGCAGTCTCAGCGTAAATTTACTCCAACGCAAAACCTTGTTTATAAGTAGCACTGATAATATTAAAGTGATATCTGTTAAAAAGCCTATTTTTTTTTGTTATATAAGGAAAACTACTTATTCTATTTCGATAAAATTTAAATCGACTCACCAAGCTGTCGAATAAAAAAGAATGTTGAAAATCGATCAACGATTTACGAAAACATCGGTGAACATACATAAAAGAAATATATATACATAAAAAATATATATATAAATATACATAAACGTCGTTGAAAATTTCGATTTCGATGTCAATTAAAAATATTTATTGCTACAAATTAATAAGCCATATGATTTTTGGGATGTGCAATGTCACAATGACCTTTCTCACAATCATTTGTATCTATCTTTATCTCTTTCTTCTTCTAAGTCACTATTTACTTTCTGATATTTAACATGATTCTCACAGTTGCTCTTTTGAATAAATCACCTTTATTTTTGGTTCAAAAATATTCAGAACAATTTCGATAATATTAAAAGGTGATAACCTTTCAATAAATTAAGACTTACGAGTATATTGCAATATTTGTTAGATTATTTGATAAAACGGAAAGGAGACATCGCTTCCGGACATACAGACATACAGACGACAGCTTTGAAATCGAATTTCTATCGCTGCCATTTGGCACACTAATGATGTTTTAAATATTCGCTCTCTGTTAAACGATTTACACCGCACTGAATTAAAGATAAGTACGAATCATACAGACAGCATTGAAATCAAAACCCTCGAGCTTTGCATTTAAGCAGTAACAACAAAGTAATCCTGAATAAACTCTATCTTTTTCTCTTTCTCATATGTCCCGCTTTATCGTCGTAAATATTATTGATAATTTTTGGCAAAGCAAATTGCTATTTATACAGTATACACTAGTGTGCACATGAAAACAATACTCGTATTTGTCTTATTAATGAAAACAGACAAACGTATCGGACATTCCCTATAAATATAGACGTAAATCAATCCAAATTGATAACACTAAAAGTTTTTATGTATTCAAAGACTGGATTAATATTTAGCCACTGTCTGACCTGATGGAAAGTATGATAAAAAGGGTATATTACAATGTCTTTGTATGAAAACATATGACCCATCTCACATGTGTCACGCCGAATCGTCAGCATTCTAATGTCGCCTGACATCCATTTTCAAGGTGTAAATAAAATTCCTTTCGAACTCTTTCCGCTCTGTTAGAAATGAGACCAAGTTAAATCTTTGACGACGACAGAAACATGACATATTGATGTGTGAAAAATTCTTCTGAAGCATCGTTTCCGAGATATGAGCCGCTCACAACCTATGTTACCATTTGAGTTTTAAAATTAACTGCAAATATAGACGTTTTCTTCAAAATTTATACTTTTCATAAAAAAAACGGGAGTACTAATCGAATTTTTGATGAGTATAGTACACATGTTAAACATTAGGTACTGATATTAGCTAGTACAATACTTATAAATAATAAATCAATTTTTGTATTGTTTGATATAAGCACAGTGCTAATCATATATCTCCATAAAGAGAAGAACTAATTTTAGCAATACAAATATTTTTCATTTGTGATCGGTTAATCTTCGTTTGCGCAGATCAGCATGCTTCCTCTTCAATGAAATCAGGACCGATTGACGTTGCATTTGTGACGTGTCGTACTCTTGATTTGGTACTCTAGCGCTAATTGGCTTGATGTTGCGTGGTTATTGAGTCTATATTTCAAGATTACGATGTAAGATTTGATGAAAATTGAGATCGTTTATTGGATTGGATTCAATTTAGCATTTAGATTGGGTTCAAGAGTAAGCCTGTTAGTCCACCAATTCCCTCGATGACCAAACGTACGATTAAAATCGTGTTTCAATAACATCAAGGCGAAAAATATAAAGAATTAGGTTACCGTCTCACTCACACTCAGCAGGGTCAGGCGCGTGGTTATTGGTGGATCATCTGATGGCATGATACTTGAATTATTCTGATAGGTTGCGAATGGCACTACGAAATTTAGCTTTCTGTGCGGGCACATCAATGGGCAACATCTATTACATCTTACAGTGTGTGATTGGCAAAACAAGGAGTTTCATTTATTTTATTTGTTTTAGGAGCGCCTACTACTGTCTGTACTGCCCCGACATGTCGCTATGGAGATGAAGGCGGACATCGCTAACCAGCCGCGACAGGAACAATTTCATAAGATCTACATCCAGCGATACGAGAACGTCAGGTTAGTTTTTACATTTAGATTTACATACTTTTTTGACCGAAAAAATGTTGGTCTATATATTTGCCTGTTTCAATTGAAATTCAAGGCAAAAAATATTTAATAAGGTTATTGTCGTAGCATAATAGATCTATTTTATGACGGCGTCGATTTTATGAACTTTTGATTTGTTTTGTTTATGAAAGTAACTTTTAAATAAACTATAATAGTAAATGAAGAAATATATATCCATGTGCAAGGTATTTGATTTAGTCAAAAAATGAAAATATAATTTTTCCTCTTCAGAAAAAAGAATCAAGTTTTGGATAAAAACCATTAAAATAATTTGAAGTTTAAACGACTAGGTATTTCAAAACAAACTCTCTTGTGAAGGTACGATTATTTTCATTTAAGTATCTAATGAGATATCACCATAGTAAAAGGTATATCCATAAAAAGATAATTTGTGTTTAAAGGTTTTGCGATTATTCCTCTTTCTTCGGAGTTTATATATTTACTGGCTGGATTCAGCTTTTGTCCGTATCAAACATTAGTTTTGTATGGCGATACTTACGCGCCCATTCAACTTGCCAGGACTACTCAGCGTTCCCACTAAAAAGGAATAATAGAGGATAAGTGTTCTTTTACTGTGCGCATACTAACGATGGCATTCAACTGTGTTTTTACCATTGGTATTATTGATAACGTTCAGCGAAAACGCACTGCTTTTCAGCGGTCTTTCAATCGTTCTGAACTTACCATTGTAAGTTGTATCTTTTATGATGAATAATCATCAACTGCTCGGGTAACGGTTTTATCGGCTCGATTCAATCTTCTACTCGGGTAGTGGGTTTTATCAAGTAGGCATGACGTTTTAAGGGCGGGGTTGAAGAGCCCTAGTTTAAGGCTTAAGGTTGCATTTCCCTTGGGTTATTATAAATAAATGGTCATTTAGTATGGAATAGAGAGCGAGAGGGCGGAGGCAGGGGAGTACCTTTGGTCTACGATGCGGAGGTTAAGCAAAATTCGCACGGGCCAGTCATTAGATGGGTGACCAGAAATTTATAATATCTAGCTTCGAGAGGTATGTTTAGCCGTTGATCCCAGCTGTATCTGTACCAGCTGTTGCTTCGAATCATAAGCCTGTGCCCCAGCAATAGCGATATTATAGTAAGGCAATCATGATGTATTAAAACTTAAACGCCTAATCAATAGAGTAGTTACTGAGCGCCGTAACTATAAAATCTTATAGATCTTCAGTATCTAAATAGCATTCTTATACACGACATGCATACGAAAATTCTTTTCTCCGAAATTCAAGTATTTCTCATAAATGTTGGCTCAAATATTCACGATTGCCAGCTAACGCAAATCTTAGAAGTCACTTGTATGTTGGAAAAGTTTTTGTAGCGAATAGAAATTGATGGAAAGTTTTGTCAATTCGGTATAACGAGTTACAAAAAGATGGACCATCACTGTTATGTTACTTTTGAATGAGATAGTGAACGTTTATAACAAGTGTGTATCGGACTCGCTCACGAAAGGTCCCGCACCGTATATTTATTTTATTCTGGTTTTGATTTTTTTGTTGTTAAGCCGGCAACAGAAATACGTCATCTGTGAAAATTTCATTTAACTTTCCCGGGTACATAAAATTCAGCCTGGTGACAGACAGATAGCAAATCCTTAGTACGGAACCCTAAAAAGAGTGAAAGCCGCAAATGAGCGGTCCCGCATGCTTAGCATAAGCACTGGGTGGCATATGTCAAACGAGACTACGATCACTCGTCATTTATATACACTAGTGCTTTGAATTAGGTGTTAGTACTTTTCTTATATATGAAAAAGACAATATTCCAATATATTTAGCACTTATAACATAATAATGTAAAAGAATATGGTAATTTTCGTTTATGAAAACTAGCTTTTAGACATTGGTTTCACCCGCATGGTTTAAACGATGACCATATATAGTAGGTATTTATTATAGTGATTGCTGTGAGGAAAAGTAGCCTATACGTTAATTCAGGACAAAAAAGATGAAGAGTACCAAGATTATTCATTTAAAGTATATAAGTTTATTTATTTAAGGGTTTTCAAAATCTCTTTTTTTGTTCTAGTTTTATATACCATCGATTTTGTAATTAATTCGAATTTACACTATGTACGAAGGAGGAAGAGATGAGTACGAATTGGAATTAAATAAAAACTAGTTTCCATTGAAGCGTCCTAAGCCCTCTATTCAATACCATAGGGAAATATAAATGGACATTTTTGACGCCCACCATATTGGATTAAAAATAGCAGAATTGAATTGGTCGTCCATTGTCAGGAGAGCCGTGCATGTATATGAAATTTCAGTTCGGTGGGGTGAAATTAACTGGTTTGAAATTCAATTTTCCATATTTGTCCCAAACAAACTAACAGGTCAGATTTAAAAGAAACAGGCGCCTATCACATGAAGCTGGATGCCAATATAAGCTACTACAATACTATAAAAGTACCTAAATAGATTTTTGTACGTGACTAGTAAATATACTGTCGCCATGCAGGTTAAAGAGAGTTTAATCAACATTTATGGGTCGAGGACTACAGCAAAATTCCTAAGGAAATTTTAAACTTACCATTGTCTAAATTTAAAACTCATATTAAAAATTGTCTACTCACTAAAGGATATTATACTGTAAATGAATATTTAAACGACAAAACTGCTTGGTGTTAAATATGGCTCATTTTTATGTATATTAAATTGTTTATCGATGAGCTTGTTTGAGTAGACATTTATTTATTCTTAATTGCCTAGTGAAATAGACAAATGGTGGACTTAATGCCAAAGAGTCCAGTACCAGTCAACCAGTAAATTTAGTACTATACTATATCTAAAAATACATACAATAATAGACATACATACACATACATAAATAAATGCATATATATAACTGTAACACAAAGTACGAAACAAAATCTGGTGTCAGATCAAGAAATCTTGTTTGAAGCATAATAGAAGTTGCGAGCCGCTGTCTTGAATGCAAATTTGTTAGGAGCACTTCGGACGTTCAAAGGCAATGCATTCCAAAGAAGGATGACGGTTAGAGTGAAGGAATGAGATACAAAACAAGAACGATGAGAAGGGGTTTGGAGCACCAGTCTACTACTAGAATGAAGATTTTTCAGGTGAGAGGCACCGAGGATTTCAAACCGCGGTTTCGATTGACGTAAATACTATTTTACTTTTATATTTTCTAATATTGTTATGGAAAGTGACTTCATATTTTAATGAAGTCATTTTTCAATTTTGACGCTCTGTATAAAATAAAACAGGGAGAAAAAAGCGGCACTTGCCAAATTTCTTGCCGGTTCTTCTCGGTACAAGGTCTCTCGCCGTAGATTTACGAACCGATGGCGAGGTTCTCGACTTTCACAAGTGCTTGTAACAGCCTAGATTGAAAATTTATTTTGATTATACGAATTACAATTTGCGTAAAAGATATCAGCGTAGCAGGAAGCGACTTTGCTTCATACTACGTATATGTTTTCTACATTCCAGTTGCAATAAAACAAACACCATCCATTGTAGTACGATGCTAATAGGATACTCATACCAACCTATTAACGTACCCATATCTAAGGCATTTCATAATATTGAGAACGATCCTAACCCCCTCAGACGGGTACAGTGCAGATTGTTGAGTGTAAATGACTGCAAATGCAGCCGGGACCAGTGGCATAATCGGCCCTAGCGAAAGTTGCATCATAGGCGCATAGCTAACCCAACTCTCTGACCACTACAATACAACCGAACAACGTAATAATACAACCATCCTGTTCTTAATGTGATTTATTTATGTAAACGGTTACTTTGAAAAATTTGGGGCCATATTTTTTTTATAATAATCGCACGACAATCACCAAATTATTAGTTTCGCAAGTCAAGAAATTTGAATGGTGAATACTCCGTATCTAATGCTAGGGGCGGTCTTCAAATAAAGTGAATTGTAAACTTGTCCTGTCTCTATTAAATAAACATTTTGTTTAAAACTTTGCGATCCTTTTTTCGGGATAAAGATCCAGTATTTTATATAAAAGTTGCATATTTAAATTCCTATCTACTAAGGCACTTTACACAAATATCCTTTATTGTATAAAGTATATTTTTTCTCTTGTCAAAGTGACCCTTTTTTAGTCATCAACTTTCAGCGAATATTTTCTTTGGGGATCCTCAACCCTTTTAAGTAAATTATGAGTTATGAGTAGATACTAGAAGGACACCGTTTCGTTACTGAGCTGAAAGATATGAAAATAGAAGTATATCGGTATCGGGATATCGATGATTTCTTTTTTTTTTATAGGAGAGAAAAATCATAATTGGCATACATTTTAATGATATGGTGTCTGTTTGGTATTAATCGTATTTACAATTTTGTTTCTTTTTCAACTTTCCAACATCTTAAATTATTTACTCTATACTTCATTACTAATATTATAAAGAGAAAATATGTATTTTACCTTTGCCAAAATTCTTTCACCTGTGGGAAACCACATAATACGCAGGTTACATAGGCTATAATTTCCACAGATGAAGTCGCAGAAAAACTGCTAGTTTGATAGAAATTGTTCACGTTTTCATGATGAAATCAGTGAACATACGTACGTAAAAATACCCGTTGTTTGGATTTTGAATAAATGCAATAAACATAGTTTTCCCCTGATATAAACATGTCGTCTAAATATTTTGATGATGTTTGGTGGAGAGCAAATTTCGTTTTGTTATAAAAACGAAACTACCAATACGATTTCGATATTTTTTATATGGGTACACCTTGGGCCCAAAAGTAGACCTTGGGCCCAATAGTAGACAGCTTTTGGGCCCAAAAATTACGAAATCGTATTGGTTGTTTTATTTTTATTAGAAAAGAATTTTGAAATCGGTCAATAATTCGAGGAAAAATCGATGAAAACCAAAAAACATACACCGCTATCAAACATACCTTCTACTGTTTTAATTTGAAGTCGGTTAAAAACAA